GTACTGGTTCCCAACCCCCAACTGGAGATACTCTGAGGTAATGGTTCTGGAGGTCTTTAAGTTCCACCGAGGTTTCTAATTTACTGGGGAGCAGCCCTCGCTGTGGATGGTTGCTGAATTCAGAGACATTCTCGGATGCCTGGGGATGTTGGACACATTTCTGGACTGAGTCATCATCGCTGCGAGAGTCGATTCATATGGTGCACGGCCTCCAACAGGGCAAAGGGCATAAAGAACCCAGTGTGTCTGCGCTCAGACGGTCACCATTCAGGTGAGCTGGCACGGGACTTCAGCATGGCTATGGAGGTCCGTTTTTTTAAATGGGGGTGAGCTTTCTGGATGCCAGTGAGACATGTGTTTGGGTTGCGTGTCTGAGGTGTGGGTGATGTAAAATTCCTGAAAGTGGATCTCATAAAGGAGCTTGAGAAGCATGTCTGAGAATGAACACTAATTTAGAATGGTGTGATGTTAACCAAAGGGGGGGGGGCAACCACTCTCGTTTTTTAGCATGTCTATTAGAAATGCAATCACATGGAAAAGTCTGAACTATATTCTTTATGTGTGATGGGTAATTCATCTGACTTAAAGTCCAGGGAGGGACTGTAGAAGAAGAGAAGAAGACAGTTCACAGAGAGGCTGGAGGATAGTGGGGGCTGATGGGGCTCCTTTGGATGATGCTCCCACTCTGTGCTCAGACACCGTCTAGGAAAAACTCAGTTTCCTCCACTCGTGCACTCACAATACTTCCGACACCAGCTGTGTGGGTTTTCTGCACCCAGAAACTCTGACACAAACTGCCTGGAGTTGGTGCAGACCCCTCAGGTGAAGGGCTCAGTCCCACAAGACTCTCCCCCTCTAGTGCAGACATCAACTGCGAACAGTAGGTCTACAACTTCTGTCTGAATTGGCTACAAATCAGAGGTTCCCACCACCCCCTCCTTGGATTTGATCATTTGCTAGAGCAGCTCACGGAACTCAGGGGAAACCTTTATATTTACCAGTTTATTATATAAAGAAAGATATGGGGGTGGCTGGGTGGCTCAGTCGTTAAGCGTCTGCCTTCGGCTCAGGTCATGATCCCAGGGTCCTGGGATCGAGCCCCGCGTCGGGCTCCCTGCTCCACGGGAAGCCTGCTTCTCCGTCTCCCACTCCCCCTGCTTGTGTTCCCTCTCTCGCTGTGTCTCTCTCTGACAAATAAATAAATAAAATCTTAAAAAAAAAATAAAATAAAGAAGGATATGATAAGAGATACAGATGAATAGCCAGAAGAGATACATAGGTGAGGTCTGGGAGGGTCCCAAGAACAGGAGCCTCTGTCCCTGTGGGGTTGGGGCGTGCCACCCTCCCAGTATATAGACGTGTTCACCGACCCGGAAGCTCCCCAAACCGCATACTTTGGGGATTCTCATGGAAACTTCATCACATAGGCATGATGGATCATTAACTCACCCTCCAGCCTCTCTCCTCTTCCTGGAGGACAGCAGGTGGGGCTGAAAATTCCAGGCTTCTAATCAGGGCTCAGTCTTTCTGGTGACCAGACCCTATCCAGGAGCCCCCCCAGAGTCACCTCACTAGAACAAAGGACATTCCTATCACCCAGGAAATTCTGAGGGATTTAGGAGCTCTGTGTCAGGAACCAGAGTCAGAGACCAAAGCCTGGAACCAAAATGCCCCCAGTGCTCTTATCATGCTCTTAGAAAACGAGGACTTTGGGAGCCCTGTGCCAAGAGCCAGGGGCAGAGACCAATACGCATATTCTATTATCTCACAGATACAGATGCTGTTGGAAGTTTCAATTTGAGGAGTCTTAGTAAAAGATTCTGAAAATGCCTTCCCCCGCTTTCCTTACCTTTGGTGTTTATAAAGCAAGCAGATCTGGACCCGAAGCAGAGGCAGGGCCCTCCCCACTGCCCGCTGGCCCGCCTGCCCCACCCCCTGGAGCGGCTGCATTCCTTCTGACTACAGGCACAGAAAGGGAAACATGAGGTAAAAGACCGGGTGAGATGCACCTGCCCGGGACAAGAGAGTCTTGGGTCAAGGATCTACCCTCAGCTAGACATGAAGCTCCTCAAAAGCCGATCTCCTTTGAGGAGAAACCAAGGGACGGCTCCTGACTACACTCCCCTCTTGGTTAGAGGGGGTGCGGACCGAAGCAGGGGATGCCCGAACAACACAGTGTCCTCCAGCCCCCCACCGCTTTCCTTGGGTGAGGAGTGATGGCCAAGCCAGGCCACCAGAGGGGAGCTTCAGATAGAAACCCTGGAAATATTCCCCAGGAGGAGGGATGGCCTCCACCCAAAGGAGATGGACGCGGGGACTGGGGCCTCCCATTTCAGAGTTGTATACACAGCCAAATACAGCCGCCCTCCCACCAACACAAGCCCTGGCTGCCACAACCAGCATGGCAGAGGCCGCCCCACGTTGCCTTCCAGGGTGTAGAATGATCATCATTATCAGAACGGGTATGGTTAAGCCCCTCCCAGGCTCCAGAGCTCATTCATATCCAATATCTCTTCAAACAATAATACTGAAAAATGTTGCCCTTATTCCCACGTAATAAATTCAGAGGCCAAGGTGCAGGAAAGGAAAGCAACCCTGCCAGGAGTAAAAAGGAGAGCCAGAACCTGAACTTGGTTTTTCTGACTCTAAATCCCAGGCTCCTTGCATAACAGAGTTAAGTATTTTCCAAGCGCACAGAGATGCCCACCTGCAGCCCCCTTCTGGCACCCGGATAAATACTCAGCCACGTGCAGAGACCGATCTCCACGAGACAATCCGTGCTGCTCCCTCGCCTGATACCTTCACATCCTGGTCATGGAGGGAAATGTGGAATTCGTAACCAAATGTGTGTGTGGAGGAGTGAGGGGGGCACTATGGCCTCGAGACGTGAAGCCCAGATTTTAGCTCTCATCGCAAGAAGACGGTCTTGTGTAACAATGTGAGGATACAGAGGGTGAGCCAATCACTTTGCAATGTATACAAATATCCAGTCATTACATCCTATGCCTCAATTTAAAAAAGTAAAATGCAAATGATTTTTTTTTTTTTAAAAAGGGGCACAGGTTTTAGAGTCAGGCGTACATGAATTTCAAGCTGATTAGCTGCATTTCCTTAAGCAACTCTCTCCACTTTGCTAAGCCTTAATATCCTTACTTATAAAAGAAGAATTGTCTTACAGAAATGTAAAAATTCATCAAACATATAAAGAAAGTTCTGAATGTGAAGCCCCGTGATAGTAAGTACTCAGATGTTAGCTTCTTTATTTTCTACACACACACAACCAAATAGAGTTCACCCTCGACAAACAGGGGTTTGAACTGCGTGGGTCTGTTAATCCAGATTTTTTTCAATAAATACAGTACAGTACTGCTAATGTTTTTTTCTCTTCCTTATGATTTTCTTGATAATATTTTCTTTTCTCCAGCTTCCACTACTATATAAGTACAGCATATAATGTGCACACATATGCATGCATATAGCATACAATCTATGTGTTCACCAACTATTTGTTATCGGCAAGGCTTCTGGACAACAGTAGGCTATTCAGGGGCGCCTGGGTGGCTCAGTCATTAAGCGTCTGCCTTCGGCTCAGGTCATAATCCCAGGGTCCTGGGATCGAGCCCCACATCGGGCTCCCTGCTCCGTGGGAAGCCTGCTTCTCCCTCTCCCACCCCCCCTGCTTGTGTTCCCTCTCTTGCTATGTCTCTCTCTGTCAAATAAATAATAAAATCTTAAAAAAAAAAAAACAGTGGGCTATTCATAGTTAAGTTTTGGGGGACTCAAAAGTTAGACGTGAATTTTTGACGGTACAGCAGTCGGCACCCTGAACCCCTGTTGTTCAAAGGTCAACTGTATGACCACAGATGCCATGAGCTGATGAACCACCTCCCGCATCCTCCCGTCAGGTAACTAAGGTCCTTGAGGGGACTTGTTCATTAAAATGCCTCCATTATCTCAGCCATGAAACGAACAAGAAAGTAGAGGCAGGTGTGGAAGGAGCACTAGATTGGCAGCAAAGAAAGCCCCAATTTCATTTCCAGCCCCAATACTGGAGCCCCACCACCGCGCTGTGCGTCCCTGATCTTGTCAGTTCCTTGCTACCATTTCTGACATCTGCAAAATGAGGGGCCAGATGGGTCTCTCAAGCTCTTCCCGGAGCTCTAATTCTGCGTTCCTCTAGGGAGAGGACGCAGAAACCAGTCGGCAAAATGGTGCTGACCCCCCACTGGCTTGAATGGTGTGAGCTCCCTCCCGCCTCAAACCGCCAGCTGGCCAGAGAGTTTCAGCCACTTGGAAAAACTCTCCTTCTCCCTGGATGGGACTCTGGAACCTCGGCCAGGACGCAGAGGTCCCAACTGCAAACCGTCCCAAGTCGTTGGATAACAAAGGGAAAGGCACCCCGGGCCAGCCAGGCAGGGTGGAAAGTGCCCCCTCCACGCAGGCCCCCTCCGAGCCACCCCAAACCTCACAGTGAAGGCACCCCCCGTCCCAAGTTGCCCTTCGCACAAGGAAGTCAGCGACACCGCTGAGAAAACGAAAGTACAAAAAGTTGTCCTCTCCAAAACTCGGGACCCTCAAACACCACTACTAAACGCCTAAAAATCTTGCTCCCCCGCTCCGCTTTGTCCATGCCGAAGGAAACCAGCTCTGCAATCAGCCTGTCCTGCCTGCCAACAGTTTCAACCCTGCTAAGGCTGTTTATTGGACCTTGCAGCTCCATGGATTCGTCTGTTTTGCTCCCATCTTCTTTGGTTTAGTGTTCTTTATTCTTCCCTCTGTAAATATAAATCCAGGACTACCCCCACCGCCGACAAAAAATGTGAGGTCTTAGATTTCTCAAGTCTATGGTGCCCCATTCCCTTCCCTTCCTCGCCTGGCTTGAAACCCCCTTCTGCCTCCTTTTTAAAACTTTTCCTGAGACATCAGAAGCATATTCAGAGCTTTCGTTTTTAGAAAAGAAAAAAAAAAAAAGGAAAGAAAAACAAAAACACATAACTTACGTTCATCCAGAAGTACACAGATTTGGAAAGAAGAAAACAGAGTTATAATCCACTACATGCCCCCCAACCCCAAAAAAAAGAATTTGTTGTGAAACGCTTCTTTTTCTACTTTGCCGGTGAAGGAGCCCGGCGGTAGGCATACATCCACAGGCTGATGCAAGATGCTTTGAGAGAAACCTCACATTCTGAGGATTCCTGGGAGAGCGCCAGGGATCCCAGCATCCAATATATTGCACATTTGGTTTCAATTAGGAAGGGGGTTGGGAAGGGAAGAAGGAAAGTCACCAATCAGAGCTGTTTTCTGTTTAGAGACTATTTCTTTTGACCCAAGGGACCACGGGCAAAGCTATAATTTACAGCAAAACCCATTCATAGAAGAAAAAATATGTATAACCATAGGACAGAATTAAAGACATAGCTCTCTTCCGCCTTGTCCCCACCGCATCCATCCCCAAGCCCTCCCCCACCACCTAAGACTTGGTCCCCACCCTGTGCCCCCCCAACCTGATTTTTCTTACTTGGGCTGAAGTTATAAGCACAACTTAAGGTTTGGATTTTCTTCCAGTTGAAATTTCCAGGACAGTTGGGTCACACACATGGAGTTGATCTTCAGTGTTTTATCCCTGAAAGCCCAGAGCTGAGCCCTCCCCCAAAAAGATTTGACTTAATCCCTACCCCTACTCCCTCTCCCACCAAAAAAACTGGACAGTTTGCGGGTCTAGGATTCCTATTTTTTTCCACTCAATTCCCAGTTGGTTGTTGCCTCTGAGGGTCTATTGCTGTCCTGGATTCGTGCTGCCAGATGGAAACACAAGCGTGTACAAGGACTTTCCAAATTATTTTGAAAACCTTTTTTTTTTTTTTCCTTTTTCCTCCTTTTCCCCTCCTCCTATCCGTGGCCATGGCCAGAGATCATGTGAAAGGGGAGTGTTGGACGACAGGGAAAAGCCCTTCCTCGGCAACCTCAAAGATACCTAATAATCTTCTCCATCCATCAAGGCTCCTCTCCTTAACCCTTCTGAGCCTGGGTCACTTCCGACCAAACCTGGGCTTGGGCCACCCTGGAGGTCCTGGTTGTCTTTGAGCACAGGGAAGGCAGGGCAAGCGGAGACTCAAGGTCAAGGGATCTGTGGAGGAGGGTAGATGGCAACAGAGAGTTGATGAAGACCTAACCCACCCTTGAGAGGTGGCCCCCTCCCAGGGAGACTTCCTTCCCCTGGGCTCTCGAGCTATCACCATCTCTTCTCTGCTGGTGCATGGGCAGCCACTCTGGTATTGCATAGCCCCTGAGAGGAGCGAGAAAAGAGGCACACAGGAAAAGGAGAGGGAAAGGGGACCGTGGAAGGACATTCTCCCAGTAAGTGTGGAGCAGAAGATACTTCATAAGAGGGATGGGGAGGGAGGAGACCTCCACCAGGATGGCCGGGAAGAGCCATGCTGTCAGTGGTAAGTCCTCCCAAGGGCCCTTACGCTCAGTCAGAAGGTGGCCGCTCGTGGCTGTGCCTCACATAGAAGAGGACACGGAGAAGCTGGAGGTGGCTCAGAGGGCAGCCACAGAGAGGACCATGGGCAGAAAACAAGACCCAAGAGAAAAAACTAGAACTGGGGCTATTTTACAAAGAGGTGAGATCAACCTCGTAAGAAGGCTCTTCTTCAATTAACTTTGAAATTCTGAGGTCAGGTCTAAGGGTGACTCAGGCCAGGATGCTTGGCTTGACTCAGTAAATGTATATTGAGCACTTAGGGGCACTTGGCTAGGTGCTTGCTTAAGACAACTCCAGATATCTGGTTATAGAAATGGTCCTAGAATCCTCTGCAAATATCTCTGTCTATAGTAGTTTCCCTCTTTGGCATTACCGTAAAGAACGCACCCATAGGATGACCTATAATTTCACAGATGTGGTGAGACCACAGGTCAAATGTGGAAAACAGGATAATAATTTCATAAATCGGGAACCTAATAAAGAAGAGCTACCTATAAGGATGTATCCCCAATCACCAGTATCTAAGGTGGTTCTGCTCCATTGGCAGAATTTTTTGTCCACATGTGTGTACAACTAGGATGCCAGCTTGAGCCAGTGACGGTGATTCCAGAACCCAGACACGGCGGTGTGCGTTGAGGAAGGACGGGCAGCTCTGTCAAGTGTCCATTGGCATGTGGACCAAGCAGACTCCTGGGAAGAATTAATTCACTGAGTGAAGAGAGTACCAAGGGACGAAAGACAGTCCCTAGTGCAACAGAGCTGTGTCAAAAGTGAGGAGCTCTAAGGAAAATACCATGTCTATCACTCAGGTTATTCTCGGCCAAATCTGGGGTCTAACCTTGAACTCTAAGAAGATGCTACCAAAAAAATTAAAAAAAAAAAGAAGACAAGTAAAAGCTGAAAGTGATGTTTTACCAAAATATTTGGGGGACATTTAAAGCATTAAGAGGAATTATCAGATTGAAGCCTCCTTTTCTGGAAGATAGCTCAGGTTGGGGGAGAAGGGTATGTTTCCTCAGACCTGACAACAGCCATTGCTACAGGAAGCGTAGCTGGAAGGAAAGAAAAGGCAAATGTCACTTCAAAGCTGAGAGGAGTAATTCGTGGAATACACAGAAAAAATTTCTCGGAGACTCTCAGAACTATTTGATAGAGTTTTAAGTAAGGCTGAAATTCCTAAAATTGTGGGAACAGATGTGAAGAAATACCATTTTGTTACTCTTGTGTGAACAGATTTTGCCCCCTGGTTTGGCTGGGAAACATGAGTCACTGCAATCAGAATTACTTATGTTGCACGGGAGGTAATACATCCTAGTTACGAGGGCTGTTTTACATTAAAAATGAATTACTACCAAACAGTATAGAATTCCACTACCTGGACCTTACTAAAAATAGGAGAGATCTATCTGGAATGGGCAAGATGCAGTATTAATTAGAAGTAAGGAAATGTGCGGGCGCCTGGGTGGCTCAGTTGGTTAAGCGACTGCCTTCGGCTCAGGTCATGATCCTGGAGTCCCGGGATCGAGTCCCGCATCGGGCTCCCTGCTCGGC